TTGTACATATATATATATATATACATACCACTTAAAATTTAATTATTTTGCATTTCCTACCTTTCCCATACATGAAAACTGTGTATTTCACTTTTTAAAAATTAAAATAATAGAATTTTTATGTGATTTTAAAATTTAATAAATAATTCCAAGCATTTAAAGAAATAACATGGCGGTCACAGTAAATGATCTAATCAAATAATTAAATAAATAAAATGCATTTACTCTAAAATGTTGGCGTCGTTGTTCACAGAAAAAATATATGTTCAAATATACATAAATATAAGAAAAAAAGAAAAAAGAAAAAAGCCCCTCCTAAACATCCTCATCTATCTCGTTGACCTCATCTTCATAGTCCTCCTCCAATGCTGTTGTTGCCTTGCCACACTCCCTCATCCGCTGTCGGAAGGAATCCAACTCAGTTTTCAGCTTGGCCTCTATGTTGGCCTTCAGATTCAACCTCATATAAGAGAAGCATGCCTCCATCTTGGTAGAGAATGCCACAAGATGCTTGGAGATCCCCTCATCCTGTGCGGTAAAGGTAGAAGTTGCGGATGCACAGGTGGAGGGGCGAACCTCGTAGGCAAACCCCTATGACCAGAGCCGATAAACTAAACCCTTCATTTTCTCTCTAACAGCCTCCCTCCATAGGTCGTACTTGGAAGGATCACACTAGCAGATCGCAATACCTACCAACGTTGGGGATCGACCCTCCTTAAGTTGTTGGAATCTCTCATGCAAATAAAAGTAGTTAGTTATATTTAGTTAGAGCTAACAAGTATTAACATCAAACTAGTTTAGCTCATCAATTACCTGGGTTGCACGAAATCTGTCATCGATCCAAGACTGGTCGGACCGCCTCCTGTGGGTGCGCTCATGTACATCGACGTCGTAGGGCTCATATCCAATCTCTACAGTCTGTCCATAAAATGAAATTGTTAGAATAAATGTTTAAACTATAGAAAAGCTTATAGAATAAATTAAAATTTACATCAAAATTTAAGTTGTTAGGTTCAATATGAAAAATGCACTTCGAAATCTCAATTGCATTACCATCTTGAAACTGACAAATTAGACTTCGAAGTGAATTTACACTCTAGCAATGAAAATTAGACTTCGTACTGGAGGATGCAGTGAAAACTCTTACATCTTATAAAATATTTCCTTCTAAAAACATATTTTCAGGTGTTCATTCAATTGCGTAAGGTGCTAGGATGACGATAATATTTTGTTCTATATTGTCTTTATAGTTGGAAATAAAATATGAAACAATTGTCCGTGATAGGGTTGGAGTAACTACAGTTGCAGACAATATTAAAAAGAGGTATCATGAAGTCTAAATGAGCTGTCAGAATTATTTTTTCTTAATACAAAATAATAATTACTACTCGAAAATTGACTTATTTTAATTTGGACTCAGATTTATTTAGAGCCGACAACAATTAAGCTCGAAATCAGAACGTGAACAGTCTATCGAGGCTGCTAGGGCTGATGAAGGCTGATAATCGGCGAACATTTATCAATATTTTATCTCCAAACTTATTTGAAACCATAGCTACGCCAACTCATTCACAAGTATATTTTGTTCACTTTTTCTCTAGAAGTGTAAGCCAGTTGTATGTATAGAGTTTGGGATTGATTTTTCAATTGGAGACAAAATATGAAACAAATATATTTGTGAGCTGGCTGATGTATCTATAGTGACATACAATATTTGAGGGAGATACATTAATCAATTTCGAGTTAATGTTTGACCATTTAATGATCTTCGATAGAACTAGCATACTAAGACGTTAAACGATCCCACTTCGAGCCGAAATGATATAAATTCCAAATAAATTTGCTATGTAGGTACTAAATAATTTTGATACTAAATTTTAGTCCGTACCTCTGTGTGTTTAATTCAACTCGAGTTTCATGTGCGAGTCAAACTTAGAACCAATTTTGGAGCGATTATCATTTTTTGAACTAAATCCTATTCCGGATTTGGCATGTATCTCACGACTTGATAATTTTGAATTTGCAGGATTTATAAACTCATTCAAACTAAATCATGCTTTCAACCAAATAATCCCTTAATCTAAAGACCAACATTCTGCATTATAGAACATTGTAAGTCTCACCACGATCTTATAAATTTTTCCTTTAAATCTAAGCAGTGTTTTCTCTCACACAATACATCGGATGCATTTCTTCATTTCAACCAACCAACTTGAAATCTATTAATTAATCAAATCCCCGTCTAAATCACCATCACTTTGAGCAAGAGACCCGAGATATCTTGAACGTTCACACCTTTTAAATGATTTGATCACCCATAGTTACAACTCTGCCACTAGAACCACTATTACTAAAATTATATTTTTAGTATTCAGCTCTAGATCTACTCAAACAAAAGACTTTAGGCTTCAATATCAGCCTCCATAATTTAAGTTTTTCTTACTATTTATTCTCTAGTCTTATCCACAAGAAAGATATCACCGCCAGAAAACATACAACAAGTTACATCCTCTTGTAAATGTCTAGTAAGTGGATCCGTAAATAAAGCAAAAATATGTGCTTAAAGTCGAACCTTGATATAATTAGGGTTATTTATGATCCAATTTTAAAAAAAAAAAATTCAATCCAAAATTTTGGCTCATAGCTCGGTTCATTTATTTTGATCCGAGCCAAAATTCAAATAAATTTTTGAGCGATTAATGATCTTCAAGCTAACTTCGCTAAATTTACAGTCATATGCTGTTAACGATTCGATTTCGAGCTGAGCTGGGGTTGGCTCAAAATCGGCTCGAAAAAATTTCGATCCAAAACTTTGGCTTCTAGCTCGGCTCGTTTATTTTTATATGATCTCGATCCAAGCCAAAATTTGAATCAATCTTCGAGCGACTAACGATCTTCGAGCTAAATTCACAACCCTAAATGAAATCCAACTGAAATAAGAAAATATTTGGCTTACCTCCTTGTTGTTAAACCCTAAACCCTAAATGTGATTTTCTAGTAACCTTGTTGTTTATGTCACGAGAGAAAGACATATACTTGTACTTACAAATTTATAGAGAATTTCTTTGATATGATTTTCCCCCTTTTTTTGATTTTCCATGTATAAGTTATTGTCTCCCTTTATTATATTTTCTTATTTGTGTGCGTTGAATTTTTATACAATGCTAAGATTATAAAAAAAACAATACTCTAGAGCCATCAACAAAACTATTTTATAAACTAAATAAACATGAAATCAAAACATTTTATCATATTTTATACATAAAATAACAAAATAAAAAAACCTGAAAACCTTTAAAAATTGTGGAAAAGAAAAAAAAAAAAAAAAAAAAAAAAAAAAGACCAATTATACTATTTTCTATTCTCTTTAAACATTATAGTTATAATCTAGTATACATTATCTTTCAATCATTGTATATATAGCACTCATCAAAATATACTCGACTTTTCTTACATGCAAATTTCTACCCCATTCCATCCTCACCCAAAAAAAATACAGTAAAGTAGATCAAAACATACAAACTTTACATCTCTCTTCGTATTTCCATCCTGCTCATCAGCCTCAGTTTGTTGCGTATGGAGAAGTACCTTTCGAAAAGTCAGCATCGAATATGTCATATACATATCCCCCCTCCTCCTCCTCCTCCTCCTCCTCCTCCTCCTCCTCCTCCTCCGCTCAAACCAATTCTTTTTTCCCTGATCTGCTAACAACTCCTTAGTCCTTCTTTCAATCTCCCTTGATTTCCTCATCTCCAACCTCTCCTATCCTCCTTTTCCCTGCTTTCAAACATAAAAAAGAGCAATCTTTCCATGGTTTTCAGGTCCAACAACCTCTAAAACAACCGCAAAAGAAAGCAAGAAGAATAAAAATCTCACCTTTCATTCTTCCTTACTACTACTTCATCTGAAACAAGATCAAGATCATGTGTGATTACTTCTGGCAAAGGATGGAGAAAGGCCAGGGAGATCTCACCGACATCTTTCAAGGAAGCGGTCTTGCCGGCCCGGTGTCGACGTCCGCCGACATCCCGACCATCACCACTGATACCTCCTGGCAGCCGCATCTAGATCCGGCAGCAACCATACCGTCGTCGACTGACGGTTTTCAGGAAAACTTCACCGGCATCAAAGATCCGATGTTGCACGAGTTAGTGGGAACGGGATTCTTTGGCTATACGGAGAAGCTCGCTGAAAGTATGGCTATAGCGGTGGTCAAGCAGCCGCCGCTTGCAGGACTCACTGATGCGGGGAAGATTGGCGGCGGTGTGGCCATCCCTGTGCCGCGAACGCAGGGAATCAAGAGAAGGTTTGCTCGTTAATTTAAGATCGGTAGATGTTAGCGATTAAGTTTAAAAAAAAAAGTTACCACCTTTAGCAATGTTTTTAAGTTACGTGATTTGTTTTGAATGTTTGGTGGTGTTTAGAGTATGAGTTCCATGGGATTCTAACACTTATGTGTAAAGGGAGATTGAGAGGAGATCAAAGATCGTGTTTTTATGGAATTAATTGAGATGCAAAGATGCAAACTTTAGCTGAATTGACTAAAAGAGAATCTTTTAGTTGTCAATGAAATATATTTAGATAAGAAAGACAAAAAAGTTTCTATTTTGCCTCTTTGATATCAGCAAAATGGATCTTAGCCAAAAAGGCTTCAATAATAGAGCAAACAAACACAAGACGTGTTGTGAAGAATCTGAAGAACTTTCTGAAATGAGAATACTGTCAAGGATTATTTTTAAAATTTGGTTTTTTAAGTTCTTTCATTTTGATTGAGTTATGACTTAATTGTGATTAGGAAAAACCAGGCGAGGAAGGTGGTTTGCATACCAGCACCAGCGGCGGCAAGCAACAAGCCCGGTGGAGAGGTGGTGCCTTCTGATTTATGGGCTTGGAGGAAGTATGGACAGAAGCCAATCAAAGGCTCTCCTTATCCAAGGTTGTTTAATTTCTTCATCAGCTTAATATATCCTTTTATTATAAATCGAATTTCAGTACAAACAGTTGGAATTAATCACTATCAAAGTTTCCTTTTTTACTTTTTCTCTTTTATTTTATGAGTTGGAGTAGAAATCAGTGGAGGTACTGACACTGAAGTCGAAGAGAGAAGAAAATTGAAATAAGTTTGGTAAACCATAAATAGAAGTGTTCTTTCCTTCCACGCTGAGCAGTCTAGTTCTCTCTCTCTCTCTCTCTCTCTCTTTCTCTCTCTTAACATTAATATGGTATAAGATTTAAATCTACTAAGTAATTAATATGTGTGTGGGGGTATGATCATGGTCCATACATCCGGACTACATACCCACATTATATTTTCTCATTTACATGTGTGCCAGTCATGTCATCTTCAAGTTGATTTCAAACTTATTATTAATTAGCATACCTAACAGTACTTTTATAAAGAGCTAACAAGGAATGAAATTGCATGGTGTGATAGTCTTGTCAATTTCCTCTTGCGACTTTAAGAGATTGTACAAATAATAAGCTGCGGAGCATACAACTAATGCTAAAGTTTGAAAAAGCTATATTTTACTGAAATAAATTAACTTTGTATTTTCTTTCACTTTTCATTCTGTCATATACATTGCAGAGGTTATTACAGATGCAGCAGCTCCAAAGGATGCTCGGCAAGAAAACAAGTAGAGCGTAGCCGAACAGATCCCAACATGTTAGTCATCACGTACACCTCAGACCACAATCATCCATGGCCTACTCAAAGAAACGCTCTTGCTGGATCTACAAGATCTCAATGTAATTCAAAAAACAACAATAATGCGTCCTCTTCAAAGACTTCTTCTACTGACCAAAAGCTTGTTCCAGTTGAAAATGTATCAACTAGAGAAGAAGAGGAGGAAGAAGAACAAGAAGTAGAAGAAGAAGAAGAAGCACAAGGGAGTCCTATAAGCTCAAGTCTCCCATTAGTAAAAGAAAGTGAGAACAATACTTTGCCTGAACATTTTCATCATGATTTTAACCAGGGAATCCATAAAAGCTTCAATGAGCTGGAGCCTGACGATTTCTTTGCTGATTTGGCTGTACTGGAAGCTAGTACAATGAGTCTTGATGGGGAGAAGAGCAACAACAAAGCCATGGATCCCTTTAATATGTTTGGTTGGGATGGAGGGAACTCATCCTAGATAGTTATGACAAGAAATCTTAAGGGAAATATTATAGATACAAAATAACATGTATTTTACTCAAAAAACACAAGCTTTTCATTAATTTCTTCATGGCCTGGCTATCGATATATACTTTCATAATTATTATTTATAATTGTGTTATTGTGTTCTAGCTAGGCCTTGTGCTGAGTTTTTCTTCTTGTTATTAGGAAGAGAACTCTGAAAGTTTGCTATAGTGAAGAAGAGAGGGGACAGAAGCTGCAAAACAGAAGTTTTATAAAGTTAGGGCAAGTACATGCATGATGCAGGCGTGAGTTGTGGCTGAAAAACCTGACAAAGGAAGTATATGACTATACTGCTTATATTTGCTGTTGAATTTTGCGTGGCCAGAGACAAGAAGATAAATTAATGGCGTATTTTCAGAAATATTATTTAAATATTCTTATGTATTTACATAGATAATATCTGAACTTTACATTTTAAATATATACTACTTAAACCTTTTATATTAGATAAAAAAATGCCTCTATTTTGATTTTTGAAAAGTGAAATATTTCTTTTCATACATATTGGTGTGGTGGTATATACATAAAAATTAAAATTTAAGTGTTAGATATGTGAACACACATGAATTAAGTGGTACAAATATATGTACATCTTACGGTTTTTCAGGATCAACAAAAGATTGTCAGCAGCACTATGTTCCCAGCAATGACGCCAAAAACTTGACGTGCCAAAACTTATTGGGATGCAATTAGTCGTACAACGCAATTGCACTTGTCAAGAAGTAATGCGATTCAAGAGTGTCGCTTATTAATTTCACAGGGGTAGTGTAGTATTTGTTTCCACAGAAAAATCTCAAGGTTACTAATTTAGTTAACTTACCTTGAAGTTTATCCGAAAGAAGTTTGTAAGTTCTAAGATCATAGCAAAACAAAGTATTTGGTAATGAAAGAAAGTAGAAAATAGTGGGGAAAATTCGCGAGTTTCTTCATGATTGACGAGACTTATACTTATATGATTCAGTGATCGTGGCGATCAGATTTTTTTTCTTAAATGTTTTCCGATGTGATTGTTGTCAATCGGGGACATAGTGCTCCTTATGCCTAAGTCTAGGTTAAAAGAAGCATAGAATTCAAGAAGTTGAGTGTCGGCACTATTTTTGGTGTGGGGTTTGCCCGTAAGAAGCTGTTGGTCATCGGAATTGAAATCCTGTCGCCCGCTTCGGAAGGACGTTTTTAAAAAAAAATAGTTTTGAAAAAGATGAAGTCAAACTGACCCCATATTTTTCATAGTTTAGATGAAAGAACACTTTTTCTCAAATCATGTATCTATCCCGAAGGATGGCAAGAATTGAGAGTGAGACTCGATCAAATAAACTAAAGAAAGTTATGACATCCGTTTGGTCTGTGAAACCAATGTATTGGCCGACAAGTTCCCCTATTTAATATAAGGAATTAAATAGGGTTTATGTTATGCTGGGTTCGGGAAAAGCTTCCTATAAGGGCAAGCCCCTATAGTTAATTACATCTTAGATAACTGAAGTTACCTAAGAATACTCTCGATAGAAATCAAGGAAAAATTATCTTCAAGGAATTCAAATGGTAAGGACATCTCAAAGATATCGGACTAAGAAGTGTGAAGGGGGATTGGTTCAAATTTGGAACATTTTATTTTAGAGTCCAAAGAAGGAAATACTAGAGGATGCCACAGATCCGAAGGAGAACTTCGGTGACTTCCTAAGCTATCCTATTATTTGGCTTCAATTTAGGAGAAATCACTTAAATGTTTCATCCTGCAATTTTTTATTTATTAGGATTTATATTTGTGTGAAACAATCAGCACAAATAACCTTTGAAAATGTGAGGATTTAAGTCATGACAAATGACTACCTCGGAGTCCTAAGACGGGTTTAGGGCTTATATTGTACAACAGGATTGTACAAATGCCTAAAAGATGTGTTTGAGGATTTATATTGCACTAGGCAAACGACCTCGATATCCTATGGCTTTGTTGTTTTAAAGCTAAGGAAGGATGTGTTGGACATGTTGTTGAAGATACTCTTGCTGTTGAAGATGATCGGGTTGCCCACCATGTAAGCTCCAAGCTCCTCGTTGTAGCAGAGTTCAAGTTTTCTAGGTCATTTGGTTATAATGTCAAATCAGGTGACCCTATGGTTAAAGTTCTTTAAATTTTATTATGGGCATATTAAAGTTGATTAAAGCGACACCGGTCAAGATCCCACGGTTCCATCGTCCCGGCACCACTATTTTCTATTGGAATCACTTAGTCCAAATGAATTTACTAAACT